TGTGTGAGAGAGCGAAGGCCATGAAGAATGCCTTCCGCACCCTCCTCGTCGTCCACCTCCTCCACCGCCCTCACCTCCACCTCGCCCTCGTCATCGTCATCGTCGTCGTCGTCGTCGTCGTCCTCCTCCTCCTCCTCCTCCTCCTCCTCGCCCTCCTCGCCCCCCTCCGCTTCCTCGCCAGCGTCCGATCGGCCCAGTGGGCGTACTGGCACGCCAACGAGGTGCATCTCGACCGCCAGAGACCCGAACGAGAGCCACGAGCTCCATAAATCAGCCGTGCTTGATGAAAAAACACATCGTTGTCGTTATTCTTACCGCCGTCCCCGCGGGACCTGGATTTCCTTCGGCAAAAGGGCCACTGCCGCAACCGACGCGTGCATCCCGACCGCCAGAGACCCGAAAGAGAGCCGCGAGCTCAATAAAGCAGCCGTAGTTGATGAAAAAAACACATTGTTACCGCTCTCCTTGTTTTCCTGGCCGCGACACCTTGGATTCCTTCGGCAAAAGGGCCACTGCCGCAACCGACGCGTGCATCCCGACCGCCAGAGACCCGAACGAGGGCCGCGAGCTCAATAAAGCAGCCGTAGTTGATGAAAAAACACATTGTTACCGCTCTCCTTGTTTTCCTGGCCGCGACACCTTGGATTCCTTCGGCAAAAGGGCCGCTGCCGCAACCGACGCGTGCATCCCGACCGCCAGAGACCCGAACGAGAGCCACGAGCTCAACGAAGCAGCCGTCGTTGATGAAAACACACATTGTTACCGCCCTCCTTGTTTTCCTGGCCGCGACACCTTGGATTCCTTCGGCAAAAGGGCCAGTGCCGCAACCGACGCGTGCGTCCCGACCGCCAGAGACCCGCCAGAGACCCGAATGAGACCCGCGCGATCAATAAAGCAGCCGTGCTTTATGAAAACATACACATCGTTACCGCCCTCCTTGTTTTTGTGGCCGCGACGCCTTGGATTCCTGAAGCAAATCGGCCGCCGATGCAACCGACGCTTTTGTTTCGACAGCCTGAAGTCCAGAAGAGGGCCGCCGGCGAGTCCGAGCAGCCGTAGCTGATGAGAAAACATATCGTTGCCATTCCCCCCGCCCCCGTCGCCGCCAGACCTTGGATTCCTTGGACAAATGCCACAGGCACGAAAAAGACCAATCAGAAACATGTAGTAGCAGCTGTACGTGCTGCGGGATCCTGGGTTCCGACAGACGTGCCATTTTGGCTCAAGGCGTCCGCCGCTCCTGCGGGCAACAGGCGCGCTGACGTTGACACCCTCCCCTGCAAGGCTTCCAAGCGATGGCCGCCCGCGGCGTTGTCCCGCGGCATGGCCGCCCGCGGCGTTGTCGCCGAGGCAGCAAACGTGCCCGCCCAAGGCATGAAGTCGCTCGGCGTCCACATGTGCGTCGAGGGCATGACGAGCGACGTGCTCGTTGCTGCGTGGGATAGGGCGAAGAACTTGAAAAAGGCCACCCCCCTTGGCAAGCCGAAGATCGACGGCAGTCTCGACCGCAAGGGCTCGGTGGACGTTTACGACCTGCCCGTCAAGCCATGGAGCGCTCGCGGCAACGCCTCCATAAAGTCCGTTGTCGACATCGTCACTGACGTCGACGCCGCCGAGATGGCCGCTGTGGACTGGGCCAAGGTCAAAGACATTATGGCAGAAGGCAAGTACAAGGAATTGCCGCCGCCGTTCTGCTTCAGCGACCCGGAGGCAGAGCCCCCTTGCACGATGAATCTTGCCGTCGCACAGAGAGTCGCAGACGGACTCCCAATCGTCGTGAAGTGGATTCAGTTCATTGGCGGGGAGAAGAGCCCCTTCGTGAGGGACAGCATTATCCGCGGCAACATGCACGTTTTGGACTGGCGCAAGGACGTGTTCAACTCTGCCCGCACGATGCAGATCCTGTTCGAACGCCTCGGTGGTGTCCAAGCGCGATACTGGGAGTTCGTGAGCGCGCCCGCGCCCAGAGCTGGCGGCGGCGACGTTGACGTCGATCAGAAGAAGAAGGAGCTCTCGGCGGGCATCCAGCACATTAAGGACGAAGCCCCACGCACAAATGCTGACTGCGAACAGCTGGAGTGGGTAGAGTGCGAGCTGGTGGACCCTTCGTCGCCAATTCACAACCTCAGGCGGGAGCTCATCAACGCGGTCCTCAAGGTGCTGCGGGACCGCGACCATTTCGCCAACAAGCTGGTATACTACCCCATCCTGCTCCCAGATGTCCGCGATGAGTACCAGGGCGCCATGCGGCGCGCCATGGAGATGCTGGACACCAACACCGTCCTGTGCGTGGGCGAGGCGGGCTTCGGCAAAACGCCGTTCATGATGTCGATGGCCATGGCCAGCGCCAGGCACAACGCCGACGCGGAGAACAGGGCGACTGGCCGCGCCGACGCGGTGGCCGCCGTGCGGACAGCGCCCGACATGGATTTTTTCCGCGGTGAAGTCGGGCAGCGCTGGGTCCCTTGCATCTTCGACGACGGTGACCTGGCGGAGCAGAGGCCCAAGGTGTTGAAAGCATTCTTCGACACCACTCAGGCGGAGGCCATGACGTACGTCAGGTGGGGGGCGGCGAAATTCGTCCGCGGGCAGGCCCGCTTCGGCGGGGAGAACGAATACGACGCCAGCGCAGCGCCGACAGCTACGCAGTGGGCGCTGGCATCCACAGGCGCCGACGCCGCCCAGAAGACGACCGCCATCCTGACCGACATGCTCAAGCCAACGTTCCCGAAGAACTTCTCGCCGAGCAATGTCGGCGCTATGCTGAAACGCTGCACCGTGTTCTTGAACACTCCGACTGACATGTTCTTCAGGCTCGCTGGCACCGAGAGCCGCGTGGAAAAGCTCCCGTTGATGGATGGGTACCTCAAGCCCGAGGCGGGCAAGATGCTGCGCTCCTACTTGGCCCGCGGGGTCATGCGCGACGAGGAGGAGTTCGACAGGGTCATGGCTTACGAGAAGAAGATGGTCATGGAGATCATGGCAAAGCGCGGCGTCGAGTACGGCGTCCCCGCGGAGGCTGCAGGCCCAGTGGGGGAGCCGGCCGCGGGCGCTGCCGCGCCGCCGCCGCCGAGCTCGGCTGGGCGGATCTTTCTGGGCGACCAGGAGGGTCATGCGATTGAACGTGCAAGCCGCCCCCCCCCATTGCGCCCCCCCCCTGGCGCCATTCCCCCATGCTACTTTTTCGCTCCAAGGGATTCGGGGTGGTGGCGGCTTGCGCGTCCATCCGCCTGGCTCGAGGAAGAGGAGGACCCGTTCGGCTTGGGCGGCTCCATGATCGGCGAGCAGGCGGAGGCGCCCGCGGCCGCCCCTGTCGTGCCGACGGCGCCGATTAAGCGGGAGCCTTCCAATGTCTTCAGCCGCAACTTGCGCCAGAACGGGCCCGTCGAGATCGACCTCTGCAGCCCCTCCCCGTTGAAGAAGAAGGTGAAGTTCGAGTCGGGCACCGTCCCGCTGCAGAAGGTGAAGCTCGAGCCAGGCTCCAGCGACGCGGTGGGGCAGGACGAGTTCGGGCAGAAGCCGCCGAAGCCGCGCAAGCTCTCCCTTGTCTTGGGGGACATCATGGCTCATGAGCTGAACGGCGCGGCGGGGCTCTCGCCAGACTCTGACGTCGCGACGGAGCAGGGCGCCGTGTCACTCACCCAGGCTCTGGAGGAGGTCGTGGATCAGGAGCTGAGCCGCGCGGCGGGCCGCGGCGGCCCGTCGAGCAGCAGCGGCGGCGGCCGCGCGGTCTGAGGCCTAGCGGCGTTCGCTGGGCGCGTTGCCCGCCGCGGCAGGGCGGCGCGGGGGGCGGGGCGGGGTCTCGGGCGCGTAGATGGGACGTGGGCGGGAAGAGTTGCAGTGTAATTTCATCGCCAATGCGACGCATTGGGACGGGGCTGACAGCCATGCTATTGCAGGGAGAGAAGACGCGCGCAGAAACCTATCATCTTGACATCCAGGCCAGCTGTCGCAAACCTTGGGATGAATGCGCGCAGCACGTGATGCCATCAGGGCGGTTGTCTCTCACTCTCCCTCTCGTGGCCAGATTGGCTCGACGTCTGCGATCGCGCGCCCTCGGCTCCACCCTGAGCACTCCGCATACTTGACGACCAATTGGTCGAGCGAGATGGCCGCCAACGGCGATGCCCGACGTGAGTGCCAGCGCCTCCAGGTTCAGTTTGAGGCGGGCGTCGACTCGCTCGCGTACCATCGCGAGTGGTGTTCGCTGAAGTACCAGGCCTTCCAGGAGTTGCTTCCCCTGTGGCAGGCGCGTTCTCTGCTGCATGACGATGTCCGTGCGCGCGTCGCCTCTTTCCTGGTCCCCACTGAGCCGTCGTGGACGTGGATTCCACGGGCGGCGCTGGTCCGCGCGGACAACGACCCTGTGCTGCCGTACGTCTGCTGCTTAGCGAGCATGGCCCGCGGGTCTCGAACCGACCGATCGGCGGCCGCTGCTCTGGGCTCGGGGTGCATATACATACAGAGAGAGAGAGAGAGGAACAAAAAAAGCGCCAGAGAGAGAGAGAGAGAGAGAGAGATAGAGAGAGAGAGAGAGAGAGAGAGAGAGAGAGAGAGAGAGAGAGAGAGAGAGAGAGGCGGGGAAGGTAGCGAGGGATGGGGCGCGATCGATAGCGAGCCGACGCACCCCTAAGGAACTCCTCCACTGGATGCGCCCCGCCGCGTTGGCGGTCGGCTTCCCCGCCGACGCCGTGCCCGCCTCGCAGGAGGGCGCGCGGCTGCGGGTCAAGTGGCGCTTGATGGAGATGCAGATGTATTGCATCTACGACGAGCTGGAGGATCCGCCCTCGGAAGGCGCTGCCTGATCGGTTGCCGATCAATCAATTGTTCGATCGGGGTGGTCGGGGCATTGCCTGATCGCCCGCGCCCGCGGGGGGATGGAGGGGAGAGCACCTCTCGGGCGTATGAGTGGATATAGACAGTGGGGGATCCATCGGCCGCGGTCGATCGAGGCGCCCGTCTGGGCCTCGGTCGTTCCCAAGGACGTCAGGGCGAAGATGGCGACGCTCGACAAGACCATCGAAGGGCTGAGCCGCATGCGGCCGCGGGCGACGTGGGCGTGAGCCAGGCGCCATTGCCCGCCGCGGAGGCGGCGCGAGTTGGGCGGAGGGAGAGGGGGGGGGGGGGCGGGGGCATGGGCGTGTAGATGGGGAGGGGGCGCGGAGATTGACATTTCAGTTTCATGGCCAATGCGACGCATTGGGGCGGGGCTGGCAGCCAGCAGTCACGGCATCCCACGCCGATCACGTGCGGCGTGCTGAAACGCCTCGCCCAATCGTCATCTCCGCCTTCTTCGCTTCCGCCGTCGCCATTGCCATCGTCGTCGTCGCCCTCTCGTCACCCGCTGCTGATGCCAGGGTCATCGCCGTTTGGGGCCAGGGCGTCTGGGAGGAGCCCCGGACGCGCGTCTTCGGTATCGGGGCACATCGCCGACTTGTCGGTGATGCATCGCCGACCCCGTGTCGTCTCTTCCGCGAATTCAGGAGGCAGTTTTGCAGGTCGAGCAACCAGCGTTCGTTGGTGCATTGTTGTCCATTCGCCAGGGCGCACGAGCTATGCCAAACCTGCGCGCCGCACATGCATGCTCAAGCGCATCGGCGCGCCAGGGGATCAGGCGCGCCTGCCCGTTCCTGGCCAGGGTCGTCGGCCAGAGCCGCGCCATGGCGCCTGGGCGCGTCTTCCCTGCGCCTAAGCGGGGCAAGGCGCGCGCTGTCCTCAAGACGGGGAAGCCCAAGCGGAAGGCCCCGAAGCACGCGGGAAAGACAACGGCGAAAAAGACGGCGCCAAACCAGAGTGCGAGGAAGGTGCCTTACGTGCGGCACGGCAAGAGAACTTGCACGTCCAGGCCGGAGCGCGTTGCTTTCAAGAGGAACGTGTTCGATTTCATACGCGCAAGTGACCGCGAGATCGTCGACATGTTGCTCGAGGACCAGGTCTTGGAGAATTTGGAAGGCCAGACGTGCTCTTTCTGCACGAAAGGAACCCTCGGCCCCCTGAAGGACGTCCAGGGCCGTGGACCGCGGTACCGCTGCAACCACAAGGGTTGCCAGAAGTTCTCCTTGCCCCAGAGCGGGCACATGGTCTTCAGCAGCGGCTCTGGCGTTGCCGCGGTGCCCTTGCAGGAACAGTCTGCCGTGCTTTTCGCTGTCGTGAACAACGTCCCCCTTGCCAAGATCCATGCGCTCACGGGCAAGAACCACAAGGCGATCGAGAGCATGAGCAAGTTCAATGATGCGTGCCGAAAGAGCGACGTGCAGCAGCAGGAGAAACTGATTTCTTTCGGAGGAAAGGGGCGGACGTGGAAAGATGTCGAGGCCGATGAGGTCGACCTCAGGGGCGATCTACTGCCTGATCACGCGGAGCGAGCTGAGAACGAGCGGGTCCAGTGGGAGCAGTGGGGCGGTGTCATCGAAAGAGGCAATCGCAAGACATTGGTGTTGACGCGCCTCAAGCCAAGCCTCACCAAGCAGAGGGCGCCAGGCCCAGGCGCGATACGCTTGCCTGATTGGACGCCGTTCGCTCACAAGAACTTGAGCAACAGGAACGTTGTGCTCCACGCGGACGGGGCAAAAACGTACAAGGTCAAGGTCGAGGGGATGCTCCACGACCACGTCGTGCACCAGAGGAAGCGGCTCGTGAAGAATGGCAAGCCCGTGAAGAAAAACGGCCGCCAGGTGTGGGTGAAACCCACGTACGCCAAGAAGTTTCAGCATAAACTTCCTGGTGGACGAGTCCTCAAGTGCAAAGGCGGGACCCAGATCATCGACAGGTTCTGGCAGCACTTGCGCGGCTTCATCAAGACCAGGAAGAGCTCCGTTGGCTCGGTGTCATTGAACGCCAGGGTCCGATCGGCCCAGTGGGCGTACTGGCATGCCAACGAGGACCTGTGGCTGGAGACTGGCAAGATGTTCAGCCGCTTGAGGGGGAAGTAGCTTGTAGACCGCAGGCTTAGGGGAGCGCGGCAGGGCGCTTATGAGTAGGCGAGGCCGTGCACGCAACCAGAAGCGCATTGCGCAGCAGAGAAATCAGATGTTCAGCCGCTTGAGGGGGAAGTAGCTTGTAGACCGCAGGCTTAGGGGAGCGCGGCAGGGCGCTTATGAGTAGGCGAGGCCGTGCACGCAACCAGAAGCGCATTGCGCAGCAGAGAAATCTTGAAGCTCACGAAACCTGGCCAGGCGTTTCTCCTGTCTCGGAGCTAAGGAAACTTTGCCAAGCGTGGTGTTTGGTTTCTCTCTAGTCTGGTGGCTCGCGATACCTGGAAAGTCGCTGGTTTTGATTGGTTTGCTGGTCTGGGAGGCATGAGAACCTGTGATTTCATTGGTTTTTCTGGTTTTTCTGGTCTGGGAAGCAGGAAAACCTGTGATTTCATTGGTTTTTCTGGTTTTTCTGGTCTGGGAAGCAGGAAAACCTGTGATTTCATTGGTTTTTCGGTCACAGGTTTTCCTTCCCCCCAGACCAGAAAAACCAGAAAAACCAATGAAATCACAGGTTTTCCTGCTTCCCAGACCAGAAAAACCAGAAAAACAAATGAAATCACATGTTTTCCTGCTTCCCAGACCAGAAAAACCAGAAAAACCAGTGAAATCACAGGTTTTCTTTGCCCCCAGACCAGAAAAACCAGAAAAACCAATGAAATCAGAGGTTTTCCTGTTTCCCAAACCATAAAAACCAGAAAAACCAATGAAATCACAGGTTTTCCTTGCCCCCAGACCAGAACCTCTGTCCGAGTTCTCTGCGAGGTTGTAACGGTAGTTCTCTCGCATTTGAGCGGCTTTGCGTCAGCGAGGAAGGGGCGAGGAAGATACGAGGAGAGACAGACAACTCGAACGTTCATTTGAAAACCCACCAAAAGGTAGATCTTGGGGGGGGGTGCGACCATATATATATATATATATATATATATATCACATCTACTTTACATATATATATATATACACACACACTAGAACCATTGCGCGCGCTTCGCGCGCGCGCTCAAGTTCTAGCTATGCTTGATAGGCTAACTCATGTAATGTCACTTTGGTCGCTTCTTGCGTCCAGGGACTCCCTTGGAGGCCCTGCGCAAGCCTCGGAATCGTATAGAAGTGGAAGTGCGGAAACTAGAAGTGGAAGTGCGGAAACACAGAAGTCATTAATTTCCTTTAGGTATTCAACGATTTGGGGCCCTCAAAAGCTTCCTGTTTTTTTGGTCAGGAGGGGAGGGGGGTCTGATTGTGGTCTGTTCTGCAAAAGTAGACCGGTGGCCAAACTTGGAAAAAACAAATTGTGGGATTTCATTTTTTTTCCAGTTCCTCGGCGCTGTTCGGCGCTGTTTTTTGTTTGTGCCTCGCGGGTTTTGTTAGCTGGGCCCCTCAGGGGTGTGGGATCTTCCGGACCCCCTGGGGTTTCTGGACGCCTCCTGGAGGCCTGGAGAGCCGTCAGAAGGGTGTCTCGGGCTGCGCGGGAGCGTGTTGGGCCGTTCTTTACGTTCTGGGGGCTCCTTGGGGTCGTCTTGGGCGTCTTGGGGTCTCCCCCCAGGAAGCCGGGAGACGCGGTACCGGCCAGATGTCAGGGGATGTGTAGGACCCCCGAATAGGAGTCGCACTTTGAAAAAAAAGAATTCTGGGAATTCTCCTTTTTGTTCCCAACCCTCCTTGGTTGGGTATTCGTTTTGAATAGAGCACCGTGGTCGCGTCTTGCTCCTCTCGCCTCCCGCCTCCCGCCTCCCTCTTGTCTCCTCTCGCCGTGTGGGTTGAGGCACCGCGCAGATTTGAGCGAGACCTCTCCCTCCATGGGTGGCTGCGATTTGTGAAGCTGCCGCCATTTTCGAGGGCTGCTGGCGAGGCCAGCAGATCCAAAGTGGACCTTGCCATCTCTAGGGGGCTGCGATCTGTGAAACTGTCGCCACTTTCGAGGGCTGCTGGGGAGGCCAGCAGAGACGGTACTCACCGCGGATCCAAACAGGACCTCGCCATCCCTGGGGGGCTGCGATCTGTCAAACTGTCGCCACTCTCGAGGGCTGCTGGGGAGGCCAGCAGAGAGGGCACTCACCGCGGATCCAAACAGGGCCTCGCCATCCCTGGGGGGTTGCGACCTGTGAAACTGTCGCCACTTTCGATGGGCTGCTGGGGAAGCCAGCAGAGAGGGTACTCACCGCGGATCCAAACAGGACCTCGCCATCCCTGGGGGGCTGCGTTCTGTGAAATTGTCGCCACTTTCGAGGGCTGCTGGGGAAGCCAGCAGAGAGGGTACTCACCGCGGATCCAAACAGGACCTTGCCATCTCTCGGGGGCTGCGATCTGTGAAACTGTCGCCACTTTCGAGGGCTGCTGGGGAGGCCAGCAGAGAGGGCACTCACCGCGGATCCAAACAGGACCTCGCCATCCCTGGGGGGCTGCGATCTGTGAAACTGTCGCCACTTTCGATGGCTGCTGGGGAGGCCAGCAGAGAGGGCACTCACCGCGGATCCAAACAGGACCTCGCCATGGGGGGCTGCGACTGTGAAACTGTCGCCACTTTCGAGGGCTGCTGGGGAGGCCAGCAGAGAGGGTATTCACGCGGATCCAAACAGGACCTCGCCATCCCTGGGGGGCTGCGATCTGTCAAACTGTCGCCACTTTCGAGGGCTGCTGGGGAGGCCAGCAGAGAGGGCACTCACCGCGGATCCAAACAGGACCTCGCCATCCCTGGGGGGCTGCGATCTGTGAAACTGTCGCCACTTTCGAGGGCTGCTGGGGAGGCCAGCAGAGAGGGCACTCACCGCGGATCCAAACAGGACCTCGCCATCCCTGGGGGGCTGCGATCTGTGAAACCGTCGCCACTTTCGAGGGCTGCTGGGGAGGCCAGCAGAGAGGGTCACCGCCGGATCCAAACAGGACCTCGCCATCCCTGGGGGGCTGCGATCTGTGAAACTGTGGCCAAATGGGGGGCCAGCCACAGTGACGCCACACGCCAGATTCAAATTATACCCGCCGTCCCTGGGGGGCTGCGATCTGTGAAACTGTCGTCACTTTCGAAGGCTGATGGGGGGCCCAGCACAGTGACGCCACACGCAGATTAAAAATAGACCTCGCCATCCGGGGGCTGGGATCTGTGAAATTGTCGCCACTTTCGAAGCGCTGGGGGGCCCGGCGCAGTGACGCCACATGCAAATTAAAATTTGACCTCGCCATCCCTGGGGGGCTGCGATCTGTGAAACTGTCGCCACTTTCGAGGCCTGCTGGGGCCCAGCACAATGACGCCACACGCAGATTCAAACTAGACCTCGCCATCCCTGGGGGGCTGCCATCCTAGATCCCCGCTTTCGAAATCGCTAGGGCTGCTCCGGGATTGTAACCAATCAGCTTTATCAAATCCTCGTCCTGTAGCCAGTGTCCTGCGAGTCTCCCGAATTCCGTCTGCAGACATATGTAGCCCTCGCTCCGTCATCGCCCCCCTTATAAAGTGTCCTAAACTATTTGCGCCCCGCATTTGCGCAGGGGTTGGGTACGTCGCCAGGGTAATTCTCTCAAAATCCTCGATCTTCGAGGGTTGGAAATGGAAGTGGTATCAGTAGTGATAGTAAGGGCCGTAGTAGTAGTAGTAGTAGTAGTAGTAGTAG